TTGTTGCCTAATAATGGTCTCTTGATTCCATATGAATTTTAGGATGGGTTTTTCTATGCCTACAAAAGAGTCACTGGGATTCCGATAAGGATTACATTGAATTTATAGATCATTTTGGATAATATTGTCACCTTGGCAATACTAAGTCTTCTTATCCATGAACACAGGATCTTTACATTTATTTAGGTCTTTAAATTCTTTTAGCAGTATTTTGTACTTTTCTGTGTACAAGTCTTTCACCTCTTTGCTTAAGTCTATTAAATATTTTATTCATTTTGGTACTATTGTGAGCATAATTATTTTCTTCTTTTTTGGATTATTTACTATTATTGTATAGAAATGCAACTGAAGTTTCCATGTTGATTTTGTATCCTGAAACATTGCTGAATTTGTTAGCTCTAATAGATTTTGTGTACATTCTTTTGGGTTTTCTACACATAAGATAATATCACCTACAAACAGAGATAATTTTACTTCTTCCTATTCAATTTAGATGCCTTTTATTGCTTTTCTTGTGTAACTGACCTGTCTAGAATTTCCAGTAGTGTATTGAATAGAAGTGACAACTGTAAGCATCATTGTCTTTTATCTTTGGTATAATTTTATGATTTATGATTTTATATTATTTGGTATGATATTAGTGGATTTCTTTTAGCCCAGAGTCAGGGAAGGTGAGGTCTGGTAATATTCACCATCTGTCAAATCTACCCAAAATATTTCTGTCCTAGGAAGCTGGGAAGATGGGAACTTCCCAGCTTCAGTTGTCAAGCCAAGTATATCAGCTTTCACACAATTCAGATATGTGCCAGAAAGGGGGAATTGCACTTTTTACCAGTTGTTTTGTCTCTTTTGCAGAAGTTGGGGGCAGAGAAGTGGGTAGTGCTCTTCTGCCACAATCCACATGATACAGACTTTCTGCAATACAGAGTTGTGGAAAAATGGGATATGCCTATTTTCACCATGCCAAACCTACCCAGGAAAGCAGTTCCACTCCAGGGAACTGAGAGATATGGAGAACTGCCTGCCACTTAGCTCCCAAGCTTGTAAAATAGTTCCTCCACAAAGTAGAGCAGTGGAGATATGACTAATACTGCCTAGCTTCATTACCAAGGCCTCCCAGTGTTCTTACCTATTGTCCATAAATGTTGTTGAGTAAACGCTTCTCAATCTGTTGTAATCCCTTTGTTCAATCTCTGGAACATTTGATTGATTATCCTGCTAATACTAATCAGGTTAATAGTTCTGTCTACAAGAAAGAGATTTCCTTAAGGTCCTCACATGGTCATTCTGGAAAGGCTCTCACTTTCTTGATGGTATCTTTGATGCACAAAAATTTTTTATTTTGATTAGGTCATACTTATCGCATGTAAATTTTTCTTGCTTGTACTTTTTGCTCATATCTAAGAGGGATTTGCCTAACTCAAGATTGCAAAGATTTATTCCTATGTTTTCTTATAGTTGTTTTAAAGTTCCACTTCTTATAGTTAGGTCTTTGATCTATTTTTAATTCATTTTTGTGCATGGTGTGAGATCGGTGTTTGAGTTAATAATTTTTCTCTTGGATATCCAATTGTCCCAGTACGATTATTATAAATGCTATTGCATGAGTCTTCTGATTCATGAACATAGGATATCTCTCCATTTATTTACCTCTTATTTAGTTTATTTTAACAGTGTTTTTAGTTTTCAATTTACAAGTCTTATATTTCTTTTGTTGAACTTATTTCTACATATTTTGTTCTTAATTCTATTGTAAATGATCTGTTACTCTCATTTTCAGATTGTTCATCACTAGTGAATACAATTGATTTTTATATGTAGATCCTCATATTATTTTTCTGTTTAGTGTAACAAATCTCCACTAACTTAATGGCTCAAAACAATACCCTTTATTATCTCAGTGAGAAGTCAGGGTGTGGCTCAATTGGGTTCGTCTCTTAGGATCCCACAAGGCCAAAATCAAGGCGCTGGCAGACTACGTTCCTTTCTAGAGATTTGGGAAAGAATTTGCTTCCAAACACATTCAGATTTTGCCAGAAATTGTTTCTTTCTTAGACTTTCTTAGACTTTATGAAAACTAGCAATGGTTGTTTGAATTCTTGTGCTTCAGACCCCTCTGAATGTCCTTCCATCTACCAGAAAATGTCCTCTATTTTTAAAGGCCCTTGAGATTACATTAGGCCCACCAAAATAACCCAGGATAATCTCCTTATTTTAAAGCCACATAATTAGTAACTTTAATTACATCTGCAGCATCCCTTTTGCAATGTAATGTAACATGTTCACCAGTGTAACTCCAGGAGGTAAAGATCATGTGGGCCAGAATTCTACCTAACAAAATCTCATTTCCTGCAAACTTGCTGCACTTATTTGTTCTAGTAATGTTTTAGTGGATTTATAATCTAATAACTAACTAACATGAGTTCTCCCCTTGGTGAGTTACAGATAGAGACTACATCAGATGGAGTTGTCACACAAAGAAAACTTTACTTCAGCAAATGAGGTCATCAAGGGGAATAACTTCCAAAGCCCTGACTCCTAAGTGGGGGTAAATGGGTTTCTTTTATTTAGAGTTAGGATGAAGATTCAGAAAGGGAGGTTTTGTCATCACATGTAGAAGTATAAGGTCATATACATGTATTTAGGAAACATGTCTATACATGCATCATATGTTGTTAATGAGGTTTGTACTCTTCCTTGGGCAGAGATTATAATGAGGTAGAAGTTACTGTCAGACACTCCATGGTCCATCTGCGCAGGTGTGAGTCCTTGATCAAGCTCGAACTGGTCTAAGCCTACTCGATCTCTTCCTGCTGTCTGCCTCTAAAAGATAAGGTTAACATTCTTGTGAAGAGCTGAGTACGTGAGGGTCTTACTGGTGGCAGTTTTGACTTCATTAACTCTATGGAGCATTGTTTCAGATTCCTTAGGGTTTTCTCTATATAAGATCATGTCTGCAAATAAAGATGGTTTCACTTTTTCTTTTCTAATCTGGATACCTTTTCTTTCTTATTTTTGTCTATACCTTCTAGTACAAGGTTGAATAAAAGTAGTGGGAGGAAACATTCTTGTCCTTTTCTGATCTTAAGAGGAAAAGAGTCTCTCTCCATTAAGTATATTAACTGTAGTTTTTTGTAGATGCTCCGTATCAGGTTGAGAAGGTTCACATTTATTCCTAGGTTGTTTTAGGATTTTTATCATGAATGAATATTGGATTTTGTCCAGTGGTTTTTCTAAATCTATGAAGATGATGTCATCTTGTCCTTTAATATAATGTATTGCACCAATTTATTTTTGTGTTCCTGAAATAAATTCCACTTGGTTATGATGTATAGTCTTTTTCATATGTTGTTCAATTCAGTTTGCTAGTATTTTGTTGAGAATTTTGTGTTTATATTCATGGTATTATTTCCTCTTTAACTGTTTGGTAGAATTCATCATTAAAACCATCTGGGCCTGGGTTTTTCTTTGTGGAAAGATTTATAATTACTATTCAATCTCTTTATTTGTTACCCATATGATTTTGTTTACAGAGATTCTATCAAGTGCAGTAGCTCCACAATATACTTACTCTAGCTGGCATTGTTGCAGATCTGGCTCACTGTGAATTAGCTGAATACAATTGCCATTGATTGTTAATGTACATAGTTGAATGAGTAGAGTGGTTTCTTATGTGTTGGTGCTTTGGAAATCATTTCAGATACTGGTTTGTAAATCATTTAACTTTAAGAAGTAGTTTTAAATGTTAACAGTGCCTTTTTATCAGAAACCTAATAAAACTCTTCCAATTAAGAGCTGAAAATGTGGGGGCACCTGGGTGGCTCAGTCAGTTAAGCGTCCAACATCAGCTCAGGTCATGATCTCAAGGGCTCGTGGGTTCGAGCCCCACGTCAGGCTCTGTGCTGACTGCCCACTCAGAGCCTGGAACCTGTTTTGGATTCTGTATCTCCCTCTCTGGCCCTCCCCTGCTCATGCTGTCTCTCTCCCTCTCTCAGAAAAAAATAAAACATTAAAATTTTTTTTAAAAAAAGAGTTGAATATGTGTAATAATGTTCTATTTTAATTTTTTAAAGGTTTTGTTAACTTTTCTTCCTCTCTGCAAAATACATGCACTCCAAATAGAGAAATTCAGCCTCTGTCCCCTTGGTTAGGACAGTGCTACTTCTCCTTCTTATTTTTTCCTCTAAGTACAAGTTTTCTGACTGGCTGTTTTTTGTTTTAATTTTTAATTAATTTATTTATTGTGAGAGAGGTAGAGCACGAGCAGGGGTTAAGGGGTGGCAGAGAGAGAAGGAGAGAGGGAGAATCCCAAGCAGGCTCTGCTTCACCAGTGTAGAGTCTGACACAGGGCTCAAAGTCACAAACCACAAGATTGTGACCTGAGCTGAAACCAAGAGTCAGATGCTTAACTGAGTCACCCAGGCACCCCCTGACTGGCTACTTTTAACATTATTTTCCATAAAAATTCTGATATATGTTGACTTATATTATTTAACTTGTAGACCTCGAGTGACTACTATATGCCAGGCATTGTGCTAGGAGCTCTGAAAGGAAAATTTTCTGTAAGGACTCAGATTAGCTTCATGTCTATTGAAAAAGTAACCCTATAAAAAGGTATATGGAAGTCAAGATTAGGTCCTTAAGTGTACTGCTGACAACATTGGCAATGATTTCACAATAGTCCAGTGAATGGAATCACAGCACAGAACAATTTGTACATATTTCATTTTGAAAAGTTTATATTAAAAACCCATATACATGGATGTGGCTGTATGAAGAGGTGGGGAGAGAGAGAGACCTCATAATAGTATAATAATTGCTCAAAATATTACTCCTCTTTTGGAAGCTTCATTTACATTGCTTTTTTTTCTGATTTCTGATAAAAAAACAAAAGGAAAAAATAATGAGGTTTTATAAACAAGCAAAAAAATATAGATACACATATTTTACAAAGTTCTTCAGTTCATCTTGTAACCAAGTCTTGATTTTTTTTCTCTTAGACCAGAAGATCAATTCAGAAGTTATTAGAATGGGAAAATAACAGATTATATCACAAGGTAAGAAAGTTTAAGCAAATAAATGCCCTATTTATATATTTGCATTAAGTTGGAAAAAATAGGAATTTTCAGGCCACAAAAGAATGAATTAGAAAATTAATATTCAATTTTAGTATATATTCTTTACAAGTTATTTTTAAATGTTGCGTTATGCATTTTATGCTTATACCTGGATGGTTTTCAGTGATTTATTCAAATGTTATAGGTAATATAAATTAATATAGAAATTCTTAACAAACTGTACTTTCTTAGCTTGCTTTGCACTGGAAGTTGACTAAAAGGAAATGCGAAACTAGCAATATGATGGAGTATGTAAGTATGCAGTTGTTTTTAGTTACTTTCTTTTGGATCCCATTCTAAATTTTTTTAATGTTTTTATTTATTTTTGAGAGAGAGAGTGTGTTCACAAGCCGGGGAGGGGCAGAGCGAGAGGGAGACAGAATCCAGAGCAGACTCCAGGCTCCAAGCTGTCAGCACAGAGCTGGACATAGGGCTCCAACTCACAAACCGTGAGATCATGACCTGAGCCAAACAAAGTCGGACGCTTAACTGACTGAGCCACCTAGGCGCCCCTGGATTCCATTCTAAATGATATTTCACTATGCTTATCATTTGTCAGTTCTTCTTTTTACCTTTTTCTCCTCAGCCTGAACTTTTGTCAGTTGAAACATGGAGGTTTTTCCTTCCATCTTCTTTAGATGTGTAGCCAATATAAAATATCTTGAAAGCTAGGAATTACTTAGATCTTAGAAAAATCTCAGCTTGTGTGCTCCAGTGAAAACATTACACAGCCATAACCTTTTAATATGAGTGCAGACCATCACATATGATGATGGGCACAGCTGCTATTGAACAAAATATTTCTGAATATTATCTTGTCAAAACTTGCACAAAATAGGAATTGTCTTCTGAATTCTGGATTCATGTTCCTGGCTTTTTTTCTAAGCTGACATTTAATTTTTAATAAAGAAATTATAGGTTCTTTTTTTTTTAAATGAAAGCTATACAATCTTAATCACAAAACACAAATTCACGTATAGCCAATGTGGTAACTACGGCATCATTATCACTCAAAAGAATATGAAATTTATCTAAGCTTCAAGTTGCTGACATGTAGTCTCTATTTAGTATATAAATGTTCCATTTCCATTTCATAAATAATGATTATTACGTTATCTTTCTCCACTTTGAATAGCTTAGGGAAAAAAATGTGCAAATGACTGACCACAAATCTAAACTGCACTATAGACAAAAACCTTATTTAAAGTATTATAAATTTACACATTAAATTTATAAATAAAATATTAAATATAAATTTAATATATATTTATACAAGTTTATAATTATCATAGGTTTTGATTATGTATTTCCAACCTTTAATTAAAATATTTTAATCAATCCATTTGAGTATTTCATTATTTTTATACAAACAACTTATAAAAGTAAGAACCAATATCAACTGCTTTAATTGAAATATATATACGTGTAATATAGAGAAAAGGTATTTTTTTTCTAATCTGTACAATAGTTTTAATCTCTTATACTTTGTTTTAAAAAAAGAGGGGTGGAAATAGCTAAAACATGGAAAGAGCCTAAGTGTCCATCAACAGATGAATGGATCAAGAAGATGTGGTTTATCTATACCATGGAATACTACATGGCAATGAGAAACAATGAAATCTGGCCATGTGTAGCGACATGGATGGACCTTGAAGGTGTTATGCTGAGCGAAATAAGTCAGGCAGAGAAGGACAAATATCATATGTGTGCACGTATAGGAGGATTAGGAGGAACTTAACAGAGGACCAACCGGGAGAAGAAGGGGGGAAATGGTGGGGGAAAGGGAGAGAGGCAAACCATGAGAGACTCTTGAATGCTGACAAAAACTGAGGACTGATGGATGTGGGGGGGAGGAGGGATGGGCATGGAGGAGGGCACTTGTGGGGATGAGCACTGGGTGTTATGTGGAAACTAATTTGACAATAAACTATTTAAAAAAAAAAAGAGGGGTGGAGGTGAAGAAGGACATAATAATGTAAGAGGGTTTGCTTTTCTGTAGTTAAACAAATAATTATTATAAATTAAGTCATAGAAACTGTTAGCTACAACAAGTAGTTATGTTTGCCAGTTTAATTTAATTGCCAATCTAATGATACCTTGTAGTAAATCATTTTTATAACTTTTTTATATATTTAACTCACTTTATACTAGAGGACCAAAACACGGTCCTGGGAAAATGATTATAGACTTTCTGGGTTATATATGTTATAGTAAATGCAAATTATTTTAGCAATATATTCTTGTTTGTTTTTATTTTACAGGTAATACTAATAGAATTCTTACCAAAATATCCCATATTCCGACCCGACTGAGGAATTTTATTCAGTCACTTCTGTGTTACTTGTCATTTCCTACCCTTAGTGCCTTGTAGATGATTTTGGAATGAAGATGGTCTCCTTTGCTGTGTTCAACTTATTCTTTATTTCTTAATCTTATTCTTATTCTTTAGAATATTCTCCTTATTCTTTTATTTATGTTGGTTTCAGAAGAAAATTTGCACATCTTTTTTGTTGTTAAATGAGGCTTGTGTTTTGCACTCTCAATTTTTAAATAAATACACACACAGAGACATATATGTATATATATAGTTGCCACTAAAGATAAAAAGCATCAGTGCTGGTGTTTAAAAAGCAAAAACAAAAATTTGTTCTGAGCATGCTGCCTTATAATTTTCATACTCACTGTTTCTAAATATGCATCATTTTTCTAGTCTACTTAATGCTCTGTAATCCCTTACTGGACATAAGTAATTAAGCTTTTGGTAGCTTTTAGAAATGGTTTTACTCTTACTTGCTTTTAAAGGACATGCAATTAATAGCACTGGTTTTGTCCTGCACTTTGCTAAATTATCACTTATGTTAGTGGATAAAATATTTAAACTCTTAAAAAAAACTTGTAAATATTGTCTCTTTGCATAACAAAATGTGATATGCCATGGTTTACAGAATGTAATGTTACTTTTACTGTATTGCCAACAAATCTGCATAGATTTTAATATGAATGAAGACTACAAGCATCCTTTTGAATGTACAGACTGTTAACATGTTTTATGGCAGAGCCATAATGAGTTTGTTAAAATTTCAGGTGTAGGGCAGGATTGCCCTTTCTAATGAGTGGATTAAAATTGAAGTTGTTGTCTGAGATATTCTGCATTGCACCTGAAACCCAGAACCTTAGTTTTTCCATTTATTTTAATAATTTCCATTTTGTCCTCCACTCCAACCCCCAAAAAAATCATTTGATATCCGACACATTTCACAACCTCACTGTCCTTATTTATTACCCTTCATGTGTCCTTTCCCTCTTTTGAAAATACATACAATTATGCTCTTTAAGGAGTATTTCAAGATTTCAGATGTCTTGGGAGGTGGCTAGATTCTCACGAAAGCCACTGCTAATCCCTTTTTGGAGTTCTGATATTCTGCTTTGGGAAAGAGGGAGAGCTAATTGAGAAGCTGTACCTAAAGAATAATTAGTGGCTGATTCATAGTTGATAATATATTCTTTATATTTTTGAGAATTTTTTTAAACATGTGGATATTATTAATGAGGAAAGACAAGTATGTAGACAAAAGTATTTTAGTTTATAAATTCACCACACATGTAGCTTTTTCATTGATGTGAACATATTTCTCTTTTTCTCCTCACAAGATGAGTGAGAACACCACACTAAATTTGAATTTTTAACATAATTAAAGCTTTATATTGTGTTAATTCGACTGCAGATGTATGCCTGTATATAGGCATTATTTGTAATTCCTATTGATAAAAATAAATTAAAAGTACCTGGACTGAATAATATCCTATTTGTCATCTTACTACTTTTAGCAAAACTATTTAGACAAACATTTATCCCAGTGAAGAGAACAGTCATTTCTTCATAAAAGGTCTAGTCTTTAAAGCCATTTTAAAAATTTATGCCTAATTTGAAATCCACGGTCCTGAACCAATAATAGAGCAAAAAGAGACACTGTTTGATATATGACTATAATTGTTTGCACACTTTTCCACTTCCTTCTGTAGAACCCCATTATCCCCATGCCACCAAGCCACCCAGAGTCTCTAACTTTTAATATGTGTGCCTGCAAATATCATTTGTCTGCTGCAAAATTAAATACGTATTTTTATAGACAAGGTGGAAACCTCTGAAAATGCATACCAAATGTCTTGCTTTATAGCTAAGGTCAGGGCAAAATTGTATCTGTGGTTTATGCTCCAGCTAATATCATCAGGTTTATGCTTCAAACTGTGATTGTTTAATACCAAATTGATTTCCAGAATAATACAAAATTTCTAATTCCAATGATAGAATAATTTTAAGTGTCAGTCCTTAAAATCTCATTTTTTTTCTGTATACTTAGAATTTGGCCATGTGATAGTCATAGTAACTTTTCTGCCATGTATAAATCATACTTGGTTTTGCCCAAAGAAGAGCAGGAAGTGGTGAATTGTTTCCATGAAACAGGAGATGGAAATTGAGCGCATCTGGAGGTGACAGAATATAACTTGAGTTACAGTAACATTTGTCATAAAAAATCATTTGCCAGCATTTGTAAACTTTATTTTAATACTTTAGTTGCTTTTAAATGTGTTATTTTATTGTTCATTATGCTGGTTGACTCATTATTTTCTTGAACTACTCATAAAATACACATTTTTCTTTCTTCTCTCTCATATGACTGCCTTTTCAAACTATTTTCCTATGAAGCGGGCTGATTAGCAGTTGGGTATTTTGGAGTGCTTTGGAGGAGGGTGTTTTCTTTTCAATGAAATTGGCGGCAATGAATGATGAAATGGCAAAGCGCACTGTGTGGTCATTATTTACTCCCCCGTTGATTTTTTTTTTTCTTTCATCCTAAGGATACAGCATACTTGGATATTTCTATCAAGTTAGCAGAATATATTTGTGAAAGCTGTTTTTAAGTTGAAGAAAGTAATTGGGAATTTCTCTGTTACCTGATATTATTTTATGAAACCTGCTGTGGTAGTTTCCCGAGAAAATAACATGTATTTGCTAAAGTATATAATCACAGAGCTTTGAAATTGTGAGTTAAAACCATTCCTTCTCTGAATTCCGTTATGCATCTCCATCCCCAGTGCTCCTTTAAACACCTAAATTATGTATCAAATGAAATTAAGCCCTAACCTTTTTCAGCTACTCTGTTCCCTCCTACCCACTCTATTAATTTAGGAAAAAGACCATTGTAGTTGAACATTAGAAGTAGTTGGAGAAGTGCCTTCTCGTTTTTGAACAAAGATAACATTTTATGTTGAAGGAAACAGAATGGATGAATTGGTACATCATTAGACTTAAAATCATCTTTTTCAAGTATTAGAATATTTCATTAGCATATTATATTCTATTTATTATTTAAAGCATGTTTCTTTGTTTTCCCTCAATCATATTATGTTAATGTTAAAATATTACAGGACTATCAATCACTTACAAAACTGGTATAATTCTAATTCTAGTAAATATGTAATTCAACATGGTTCTGAAAGAACAATGGTCTTTGAAGCCGTACAAAAAAACCCACTTAAGTATTTAATGTACATACTATTTATATTATCTATAAACATTAATGTCTGATTAGTTAATCTGTGTTACCATTTAGCACTCTGCCATTTTTAATGAAATTCTTATTTTTTCATAATTTGAGTGACATTCCATAACGTTTGTAATGCTTAGAACAAATAGGGTTTTTCCAAATGTATGTGAACTTTTAAAAATTATTAGCATTTTAATTTTGCTTGCAAATAAACTACCACTTAAAAAAAATCAAACCTCACTACTTGAACATAATGCCCCCAAAAATAATTTCATTAGAATGAACTATGTTGACCTAAGGGAATGTAGAAATTATATACACTCATTTAAATGGAGCATTTTCACATATGGAAATACTTTTTGCTGATTTGACTATAAGATGCCCAAATTCATTGAAGCTAAGTCCTCTTATGCCTATAAAATTCTGCTATAAAAATTCATTTTTCAACGATTGTCAAATTGTTCAGGTTCCTTTAAATAATGAACTATTGGGAAATTTTCTATAGAAAAGGAATAGATGTTATTAATAATGTTCATGTAATATGGGGACTGAAAAGGGGGATATGTATATCCTTATCTTGCCCTAAATTTCTCTTTTCTGATTCTGAACTGGTCTTTTCATTTTGGTGATGGTAAACTGAGAATATATTCCATTTTCTGTGGACTTTGTCAGATTCATACTATATGAGGAAATGATCTACTATTAGGGGCTTTGGGCAAGTCACTTAAATTACATTTCAGTCTCTTAATCTATAATATCATGGGGTTGAACTTAGAGCTAGACAGAAAAGTAGAGATAACCTAATATTCTGTGATTCTAGGAATCCTTAGGAAATTTTTATTCTACAGAATCTCAGAATGATTTTTCTCAGATCTACTACCCTTGGTGGAAATTCTCACAGTGCCTTGCACACAGTAAATGTTTGATTTGCCAACCGGCTCCCAGCTCATGTGTGTTCATGTCACACTCAAAAAACTCAAAGACTCAAAGAACCTGATACCTGCTAGACCTGAGCCCTTCTATCGTAATAAAAATAAGTATAGTTTCCTTAGGAACCAAGGACTAAGGTCTGTGGGCTTTGCATATGTGGAATCTGATTATGCATTTGGTATCCAGGCAAAAATTATAACTGTGACAACAATGGAGATATGGGAGGACCCAATTTGACAATGATGTGAAAAGTTTCCTCTCCTATCCAATATTTGCTTCAGTGTCTTACCAAGTTCCGTATCCTCAAAAAGATTTTTTTGGAACAATTTGATATTAGATGAAAAGAAAAGTGGTGTGGAACTCAAACCCAAATCACTTCTGGTTTAATTCTTAGCTCTGCTGCTTAATTCCTCTGTACCTCATGTCCTCATTGTGGAAGTGGGGACAATAATCTGGGCCTACCTCACAGGGGAATTGAGGATTTTTTCCATATATTAATGTGCTTTTGAAGTTGGCTGAAAGATATACTGAATATCATAATTTTGTAATTTCTAAATAGATTCCTTTAAATCTATGTTGTTATATTTTCTTTCTCAGTCAAACTCTGCAGAATGAGTGTTGCAGTTAATCTATTTTATCAGTAGTAAATTTGTTATTAATCCCCTATATGTTAACATGAGTAATTGTGTTATGTTAATACTTGACTTAGGGAGGAAAAGCAGGTGGATGTAAACCAGTGTTTCCCAACTTGGGAAAGATAAAGATAGCAGTGGGGGCATCCTTGAACCTTTTTTATATTTCAGAAAGTATACCAGAAATGATACATTTACCCATAATATATCTGCCGCACAAGCCAACTAAGACATTGAATTTCCGTGCATTTTGCTTATATTTTTTCAATCCTGTCTAACATAACACTGGTTATCACCCACTGATCATAAGTTGTGAATG